ATATATACATATTCCCTCTTTTTAATTTAAATTAAACTTCTCAATATCAAAGACACGTCTTTAGAACGTTCTAAACATGCTTTTTTATGAGATATCCTTATATATATTATACATATTATGTATAATATATTATACGTATATATATGCTAGCCTAAGCGCGGAGTTCACATGTATGTATGTGGCTTGCGCATATGTGGTACCCCCTCCATTCATGCTACTTGTTTCTTGCGTCGCAATCTGGCCACACAGATTGCAACTTGCAATATCGCACCGTTGAATTTCCCATAACCTACGGTGAAAATTCTGGAAGATCTGTGAGAGCTTATATATTCCCTGCGATCTCTTTGATCCCGTTGTGTCTCAGTTTGTACAAAACCTTCGGCATTGTGTGATTTCTGTGAAACTCATTAACGAGATTTAAAACCAGCAATGAATCCAAATTCAGAGACAAAGCTTGCTGAAGTAAGTATTATTGTTATTGTCAGATTTCAATTACACTTTTCTACACCTTATGCAAGTAAAACGAGATAATGGATGTTTGTTTTCAAAGTGAAAGAATGAGAAATGAAGTATATAGAGTTCAAACACACAGTCTGCATCACAATTTTTGAGATCATAAAATTTTAAATAATGTAACGCTGAATTAATGTCTTTAACTCTGAGTTTTTTATATGTACAATTTATATTAAAAAATGTTCTTAATTTGTAAATACACTTTGATGAGTTTATTATTTATTAATATTTATTTGCTAAACAATATTTTATAATTTGTAATTTTACTAATTTTTTTCAGATCAAATTAGATATTAAAGAGCTCAACAGTTTACTTAAACAAGCCCATAGACAACGAATCAAAGATGTGCTGTCGTTGGAAACCAGGAGGTTACAGACAGAAGAAGCAAAATTACTCGAAGAGATCAAAAAAGCATCTGTCAATTCGACAACCGCATCACTCAACAACACTCAAAAGTGTTATGAAGTAAAATTGAACAACTATGGATGGGATCAGACACGCACAATAGTGAAGATCTACATAACATTGAAGGATGTTCAGCAGTTGCCCAAAGAAGCCGTCATATGCAATTTTACAGACAAGTCTTTGGATTTGCGAGTACTCGGTCTGGATAATAAAAATTATCGTTTGTCGATCAACAATTTATGCGCAGAAATCAACGTCGAGAAAAGTAACTACAAGGTAAAGACCGATATGATTATCGTGTCACTTCTCAAGAAGGTTGCCAAGGACTGGTCGCATGTTACATTAGTGGAGAAGATGATCAAGGAGGCGAAGGCGCCAACGGTGCCAGATTTGGGCGAGGACAATGATCCCAGCTCTGGTCTGATAAACCTTATGAAGAAGATGTATCAGGACGGCGACGACGAAATAAAGAAGACGATAGCGAAGGCATGGACGGAAAGCCAGGAGAAACAGAGGAATGGTACAATGGAATTGTAATTTCAGTATTGATCTAGATGTAATCAATATTAAACAACCAATGTAATCTGAATAATATCTTATTTTTTTTTGTATTTTATAATTTAAACAAATTTTAGAGTAACGTGTAAAAAGTGTAAGTCTGATTAATTTTTTTTTTTGCATAGCGAAGAAATTGTGCAAATAGAATTAAAGCAACTACAAATTTTTAGTTCTAATATGCTTTCTCTTACACTTATCTCTATTTATCTAGTTGTGAAATTAAAGAAAATATAGAAATCAGTATATAGTTTGCATGGACATATATATTGATTGCTAGAAAAATGTTTTCTTTTATGTTGAAACCTTATTTAAAAATGTGATACATGCGTTTAATAGTAGCTCACATCATTGATAAATAACTAGAAAAGATTTGTGCAAAAGAATTGTACACATTGTAAACATTTTCATTTTTGCGGTTTTTTTCTGTATATTTGTGTCACATGAGAGATCAATAAAAGAGCCATGCTTAACTAAAATCAGGTATCTTTATTATTCTTGCACTCTGTAAACCATCTCTTAATTTTTTACATTGCAATTATAGTCAAGACAATGTACAAAACATTTTCGATAAACTCGATCACTTGTGAATTTTGCTTCGCAGGACAAATAAAGAATTTGCGTGACATAGATATAACAAACTCGTTGAATTCCACTTGCGACGTCGATAAACGCTCGCTTCGATCTATTATAGTGATCAATTGATATTATATCATGACGAAATACACAGCCCAAGTACATAAATCTTTGGAATAAGCTCCGCTAACTTTATACATAACATCTCTCGTAGAATGATTGATCAATGTATGCACGCTGCATTCGAGAAAAGTCAAATCTACAATTCCGTCTATTAAAATAAAAATGGAATGATGCACTGATTATATTAGCTATCGCCTATGAGGCTTTTCGTAAATTGGCACTGAAATGATAAATCCATAATGGATGACGTTCTCTTTAAATAAAATATCGTTTAAAGATATTTCTGTGATTTTCGACGAATCACAGATACTATTTGCGCATTTGCAATAAATTATCTACATAATCAAAAAAGTGACGGGTGCTGATACACTGATAATGAAACTTACGCTATTTTCGAGAAGGTGGCTAGACGTTGATAATATTTGTAAATTCGAGAAAAAAAAGGTCCTTTAGATCTTCGAGTCGCAAAAACCTTACTCCAAATTTCTAGTTATTCATGCACGAAATTCGATTACGCTAGAAATCGTATATTAAACGCATCGTTAACGCGTAAATACGTTCGGTTGAAAATTGTGCGTTTTTCATTCATTTAGGAAGATAATACTAACGCGATAGGTATTTCGAATGGTTTACACGATTGTATCTAGTGTGATCGAAAAACATGGGTTTTTAGAAATTTCAAATAGCGCTCTCAAAATCAACTACGTTACCGTCTACCGGGAGTTAATACCGCGATTCTTTCGTGTATGAATATCATTTATTATCGAAACGTCCCTCTTTCAACTAACAATAAGGAAAGAAATATCTGATAAACAAGATGAAATATTTCCGCTATGGCTGTATATCAGACTCTCGATTCATTTTTTGGTCATGATATAAAAATATCCGCGCGATTCCAGAGTTCAATCATCACGTTAAAGTATACAGTAACAACGTCTCGTAATACAGTAATAAATAATTGCAGCAGCTGCAACGAGAGAGAAGTGTACCTTATAAAGTCTAAAAATGGCACTTAAAAGATACATGTCTCGTTGTGTGAGCCGTTCATTCTCAAAGTGATATAAGTTGAATTTCGAGATGCAATATTCGCATCACAAGTTTAGCACTAAAAATAATCATCGGTTATCTAATGCGAAGGTCACGCATGATTACATTTGACGCTACACGTGCAAATGCAAATGCGAGCCGGAAAATCTAATTAATAGATAACGCACAAACAGCACACTTTTAACACAATCTAAAATAAAATTTATATCATTTTTTTTCTTCTTCGAATAAACCGCTCGTACATGTGATGTTTCGAAGTTACGCAGTTTACAATTAAATCGATCGTGTCGCAGAACATCGGAACAATTATAGAAAACCGATATATTGTGAAGCGTCTGTACTTGTATGATACATTTAGGTCCTCCATCCGAACAATTCGATTTAAAGTTACAGGAAGCTATAAAAAGTCAATGCGATAGATTACTCACTCCCACCTGGCTAAACAGACGCAACTCCTATCATGCTATTGTTTGAATAGTGTTACAACTATCATGTGAGCGTTGTAGCCTACAAGAAACTTGATACTTGATGTACAATATAAATATGACTGCGATATAGTAGTCATGCCGATAATTAAGTGATCGTTAATTATTATTAGCATAAACCGTTTGAAATGTTTAGAATTCTATATCAAACGCGTCTTTTCTTGTATAATATCGGAAAACGAAATATGTGTCAGCGAATATATAACGAATATCTTTGACAGTACATATACATCATAGCGATTCCGGAAGCAAAATAAAAGCGCGGCTTGCACAATGCCTTTTTTTGTGCAAACAACTAATTTGCTTTCTATTTCGTCAGTTCGCGCGCAACTAATTAAGTTAAAATATTTCAACTTCGCAGGCTGCGAGAAATTACTTAGCGAAAAGGCATCGTGTAAGCTACGCTAAACTGAACACAGTTTCCCATCTGAGGATTAATGCGAAACAAAGCATTGACTTTACACGGGACGCATTCCGTCCCGGTTACGTAGAGAATAGAAACGTATTGCGCAATCGAACAGACATTCGTGGAATGCCGGCGAATTGAGTGTCAATGTCTAAAGGACTGACAGTCACCACTCTTTCGCAATATCGCAATTATAACTAACAATAAGTAGAAATGTATGTACACTGCAGCACGATAAGATTAAAACGCATTTACCTTTCCGGTTATCGCATTATTTTCTTTATCACCTCAATTATAATTCCATGAGCGAATATCAGAGTGATGCAACTGTTGGTTTCACGAGGAAATATACATTTAGGGAGAATAGTTTGAAGATAATATGTAAAAATCGAAACTTCTCATCTTCTTCTCCTTTTTGTTCTAGATACTTGAAATTAAAGTGCACTCTGTTAATCTTCTTTTAATCACCAAGCTAATGCGCAATCTCAATCTTTTACGGATACAACCGTGTAGAAATAAGTGGAAGCATCAAACAGACGAGTGGGAATGTACAAGCGTACCTTATACATAGCAAAATATATCTAATGTAATTTAGTACAATGCGTTAAGTATAAACGCTAACAATATATGTTCCCACAATTTATAAAATGCGTTCTAACGAATCATATGTACAGTTCATGGCTCTACAAAAAATCATAATGTATATATTGAAAGTTCCTCCCTTTTCCCCCAACTATTCGTTTCTACAGTAAAGAGTGCTGTATACTTTACAATACGTTGTTTCTCAAAATTGTATCTAATTAAGAGCGATATTTATAATTCTTCTGTCTGACTTCATGCTTATTTTTACCACATTTTTTTTCCTTTAGTTTTCAAGTGAAACAATCTCTTGCTCCATACAGTATGTATATATCGTTCATGGAGAAACTTCAACATATCACAAATGGCATTTTGCATACCAACAATAAAGATTAAAGATCAATTAATCATCAAGGAAAGAACCGAAGAATTATCTAGATTACCGCGCGCGATCTGCGCAGCTACAAATAAATTAATAAGCTAAAAAACAAGAAAAGACTGTAAACATATATCTATAAAATCTGACGCTATTCATCTTTCACGAAGATAAAGAGTGGCGAGATACGAATTACAATAATATCGTAACAGAACATAAGTTGAGCGTACGCTTAGTCTTTGGTTCCTGCGCGTAGACTTAGTCATTAATATTCCTGTAGAAGAATATTAGTTTACTGGCTTGTCCCCATAAGACGAGATCGTTATAGTTTGATCGGACAGTGATCAGTCGGCGTATGGCTTATCGGGCGAGAGATAGCTGAATCTCACTATTCGTCGCCTGCAACACCTCGCTCATGGCGCTTCGCGTCTTCTGCATCAACTCCTCTACGTCTTTCGTGCTGAGTCCCTCGGTGGAGATAGGCGGCAACGTTGTCACGAGAATGCGTCCTTCAATTGAATCAATTAAATTGCATCCGGTAGTTTTCAAGATGCAAGTTTTAAATAATTAAAAAAATTATTACTACAAGTTGTCTTTTCGCTTTTAATGAAAAATTAATCTAATTTATTAACTTTAATTTCTAATAAAAAATTAATTTTTTTTTACATTATTATCCAAATAATTTGTTTCTTGTCACAAAGTTAATGATAAGATAAAATTTTCATAAAAATCTCGGAGTATATATTAGCTGGAAATTGAAGTCATTAATTTAGATTCTTGAAACTTTATTATTTAAAATATACTCTGACCTTCCTTCTTCTGCAATTAGCCTCGCAGCTACTTACCGGAATCAAACCTCTTCTCTTCTGCGGAGAGAAAATAATAGGAGGAGAATACGACGGGTAGTATAGGTAACTGCGATCTGATTGCGACATGGAAAGCGCCCTTTTTGAACGGATGTATCTCGCCAGTGTTGTGCCTGGTGCCTTCGGGAAATATCCATAACTTGATCTGCGAAGAAGCATTAATTACAAATAGCAGATCGACGCGATTCTCGCGCGAAATTTTACCTTATTCGTCTTAATTTCTTGCGTGGCGTCGTTGATCACGGATCTTGCGCTCTGGGAATTCATTCTATCAATAAAGATCAAGCCGCAGAGCCATGCGGCAAGACCTACCGGCCACGCGTAGAAAATCTCCTTCTTAGCCACAACGGTACACTTATCCATCACCGGCCACAACTCAAACATTCCTAGTATATCTAGCGAGCTCTGATGATTCGCTACAATTATACAAGCCCTGTCCCTCTCCAGATGCTCCCTTCCTCGTAACTCCCAGCGCAGTCCTAGCAAAGGACTGACATGATGGCACAACGAAGATGCTAGCCTGTAAAACATAATTTTCGTGAGTATAATTGGCAGGAACTAGGTTTTTCTATTTTGAATTTTATATACAAAAATAAATATGTATAAATGTCTCATTCATATTTCGATTCCCTCATTGAAAATTATACTTATTTTATCTTGTGTAAAATACAATTTTAATATAAAAAGGTTCACGTAGAAAATCTTAATGTAAATAAGGAGATTATTCTCTACGAATAATTCCTTGGTGTTAATGTTATCTTTATGTAATTATATGTTACAAAAATATATTTTTTGCGAAAGAATTGCAATAATATATAATTCCTGTTTAAAAATCGAAAAACATATGAAATAAGATAATATAGGTACAAATAAATTGAAATAAATGATTTATAAATGAAAATAAATAGTGGAAAGATACAAAATTCTATTTAACATAATGGTTGATGATTTAAAGAGAGGGATGATGAGAGTTGAAAGAATATTTTGATGAAAAATTATTTAGACGATTTAAAAAGAAAAATTAATGACTAATCAGTCTTTCAATTTTTGGAAATAAACTTATTCATGCATCGATATTCTGTATTTAAATCGAAACAGATATATTTAAAATAGGTGTAATAAGTCGTCATTTTACTACGTTCATTAACAAAAGTTTTAAAATCTTTCAGAAATTCATATTATGTAAATATTTTTTTACATTTCTACGTCCTCGTTAAAGTAAGTTAAAACTCCTTGAAACTTTTTTTAATGAACGTAGTAAAATGATGACTTATTACACCTATTTTGAATATATCTGTTTCGATTTAAATACAGAATATCGATGCATGAATAAGTTTATTTGCAAAAGTTATATTGCAAAAATTATAAATTGTATATACAATTAGATAAAATAATTCATATATAATTTAAAATTCTTGTGATGTTTCGATATTATATATATATAATAAAATAAAAAGTAGTGCTGCTATCGATTTCTCGAATGCTCAAGTATCATTTAAAATATCCGGATATATAGCATATTGATAAAAATAAAATATAAATAAATAAATATATATATAATAAAATAAAAAGTGGTGCTGTTATCGATTTTTCGAATGTTCAAGTATCATTCAACATTCAAAACATTCAGGTATATGGCATATTAATAAAAACAAAACTGTTCAATAGCAAGAGGAAAATACCGCATCGAAGTACCGCAAAGGTCTCCAATCAACCGTCCCTCATTAATTACTCCCACGCGACTTTTTATGTTTGGTGCTTCGTTTGCAACGAACGCTAATATAGCGTGAATGTTATTGCAATATTTATTAATTTATTTGACGGAACAGCTATTATTATAGGAAGCGACTCATTTTCTCATACGACAGCTCCGTGGCAGAGGAAATTTAAATTCTCTCCGCCTCCACTCGACACCGTCGCGTTCGCAACCAACCACCACAAATACCGCCGGTACCACCATCACCGTCATCACCCACCAGCATCACGGCCACCTACTAAATAACCAGTGAGCCCCGGTCAATAAATTCCCGTGGCCATACCGGCGATTCTGTGGTGACGCCTGCCAAAGCTGTCAGAACGAGCGGCCAGGCTGAGCGAACGCGGAGAGAATCCTCGGCGAGAGACAGCCGGGACGACGCAGCGGACGAGCGCGCGAACGTGCGAGCAAGCAAACACGTAACAATATCGATCGACTTATGCGACTACTAACAGAAAATTCTTGACGTTGAAGCGCCGCAGAAAGATGACGGGCAAGAGCAGTGTCGCGTTCAGCATGACGAAGCCGTAGTAGATGAGGAACTTGAAATAATAACGGAAGGTGCGATTGGTCTCGTAGAGAAACGGCAGCACGAGGATGAAGCCGATGAGGATCACCTCGAAGCACGTCGGGGCCATCTTCGGCGGGCGAAGAACTGACGTGATTTTTCGCGAAACGAATTTTACCGCACTTTCTTTCGCACTTCCCTCGCTCCCTTCCTCTCCCTCGACGCAACGGACAGGCTGCGCTTCCGCAACGAGAGATAATTTTTACTCGAGCGGTCGCTCCCTCGCCCGACTTGGCGGGGCTTCGATTGACACGATGCCACCGGTGGGTTCCCGAGCTCAACACTCGAGTTACGAGACGCTACGCGCTGTTGCGCAGGCGGATACTGCCAGTCCGGCAGCAGGCGGCAGTGCTGCTATTTAATATACCCTCGGTGTCCTACCCCTTCTAGACAATCCCCGGCCGATGCTTGGGCGCGTGAGACTTTGGATCTGCGTGTCGTTTCGGTATTCATTTTTTGCACTTTTTTGTAGCCGTAAATAAGTATGCGTTGAAACTTTAAACGCAGGAACAAAAAGCCCAGAAAATGTAGCTGAAACAAATATATTTATATATATTATTTGTGTTAATTCTATTTTTGGTAACAAGATGGAACATCTTTTTACAAGAATTAATATCCATAAAACATTATTGAGTTTGTTACTTGTAAAATAATTAAAAATGCACGCAAAATTATTTGTTAATAGTAAAACTGATACCAATAAAACAAATAAGAATATTAAATGTATTCCTAATAAAGCCACTAAACGGCTTTCTAGTAAAGATTTAAAAATTAGTGGAAATATATATAAAATTTCCGATACATTTAAATTGGATATAATCGAAAAGATTATCTTAGAAAAAAAAGGAATAAATTTGATCGAAAATGAAATAAAATAAATATAATATTCTAAAAATAAATATAGTATTATAAATATAGTATTCTATAGCCTCTTAAAGATATTCTTTTTATTAAGTAAAAGTGATAAATATCTTGCAAAGTCTCGTTTTTACGTATCTAAGCATTAAATCTGTTTTCTTTTAAATAATGACTTTATTCTACATTTTATTGGAATTTTTTGTTTCTTTTTATTCATGTAATTTTTAAATGTTAATCACTCCTAAGAAATCACTTTTTTCTAATCTTATCTTAACTGTCGTATATACACAAATATCGATCGTCGAAATTCGTGGTATTTCGGGGCAGTCGCACTTCAATCAGATAAGGTATGAGAAGTATTGATTGTTCTCGTTGTACAAATATTTGTAAAATTGTTACAGGTACACCTGGAGGTTGGTTAAAAACGATCACAGGTGAAAACATATATACATACATTTTTTTCAAAATTTTCGATAAACTTTTGATATTTCTTTCCTTCCTTCTTTCTCTTTCTCTCAAAAATTTTAAATCAAGACATGATAACATAAAAATGTTACGAAAATATCTCTCTGTGATAATCCAAGTACTCTAAAACCAAAATAGATAAAAATAAGCGTAATATAAAATAAACATCAATAAGTTATTAAATACATGAGAAAAAGTAAAAAAGTAAAAGAATTTTTATAAATTGTTTGTTTTTTAAATATTTTTTTACTTTTTGACTTATTCTTATACATCAATTTTTATATGCCAATTATTATTATTTTTTTAAATTAACTTGAGTATTATAGAGTTTAGACAGAGATCAGTTACAGATTATGAGATATCGCTCATATTTATTTGAGCTCAAAAATTAGTCAGAAATATAATTTGTTTACCGTTTTAAAGCTCAAGTTTTTGACGATGATAACCACAGCGTCGACGGTCTATCGTGTACGCGGGAAATGCATTTTGATAGATATCGGTTTCCATTTCCTCCGATTATAAATGCTGTCGGCGAAATTGCTAAGGACATCGTGAATCCTCACCACCGTCACATCTCTAACTGGATTAATGTCAATATTTATTCTCGTCGCCGAGATATACTAATGGTTCCTGCAATGTGACGATTTTGTTTATTTCTTTGTTCGAAATCGAATTAAAACAATGAAATCGTCGAATGCTCTTCAATATCTATTTAAAAAGAATTGTGAAATGTGTAACATTTTATACCACAGACGTCCTATTATTCTCGTTTTTTCATAGCAGTTTTCTTTAGGACTTGTCAGTACAGTTCACATTCTTTTTCTCCTACTTCCATTTCTGATTTGTAAACATAAACTAACATATATAGCGCATAACGTGTGTGGCGACGGTGGCGACGCGGAAGTGCAGTGTAAAGCTTCATTCAAATGAATATTTGTCATGCGTCAAAAAGCAACCAATTATGTGTCTAATGTGTAGCGAGTGCTAAAAATGGCATCTGATATATTCAATAGATGATTGGTTGAACAAATTTTGTAATGATTTAATTTGACAAGACATTTTAATCTGGACGAGCCTTAATTCTTCTTATTCGTAGTCATTATCTGCCTGCATCTGCAAAGTGTCTTATGCCCGCCAGCCATATTTTACTTTGGTCTTTACGTCTTTGGTGTTTACTCATCTTGCTTTCAAGGGCTGAATGCATCGAGGACGAAGCAGGTAAAAGAAACAGTTGAACAATGGATAAATTCGCGCCTTTAAAAGCGTTTGAACAGAAGTCGATAGGCAGGATTCACCAGTCGCGGAATAAACATTAATTAGCGTCCATCGAACAGAGTACATTAACGTTTAAAAGTGATTAAGAATTAAAATGCGATACATGATTCGGGTTTGTGTTTATTTTGTCGGTAGGATTAAAAAAGTTTTTCTTACGCAATGGAACATCGCGTGAGCAATCTCTCTACATCGTAACACTTGTCGATCTGCTCTTTTCTCGCCATACAACGTCTCAGTTACACTTACTGCACCGCCATCTCGCTCGTTCTTAAGCGCAAGTTTGTGTGGGTTTAGATGAGTGTGAAAGAGATGTAAATAGTGCATGTAGAGTATGGATTCTTTCTGTAAACGACGCCGTCCAAATTTTCTCTTTCTTTCTATAATAAATTCTTGCCTTTTTTCAGGTACTAGAACCAAGGGGACTAGAACCAAGACACAAAGAGCTACGTGCCTTCAACAGCTATATTATTACATTCTTTGGTACGACTTGGCATGGTGAGGATTACGACTGAATTTAAGGTTAAGATTCTACGCGCAGTCTTGGTTGCAGAGAAAAGACGTCGTTAAAAAATAGGCAAACTTTAATATATGGTGAGTGAGTTGCATTATAAGATTTAACTTTAAAAAATTTTTGAACTGTAAAAAATTGAATACTTAACTTTTTTAGTACTAATTTTAACTATTTCTACACGTTTTTATATACACATGTAGAGTTATAATCCTTAATTTCTAGATTTTACACAATAATCAACATAATAATGATTATATATATTGATATATATTGATGATTATATATTGAGAATTCTATAAGTGTTTACGTTTTAGAAAAAAAGATGTGAAACTTTTGTATACTTTTGTAGCCTTTGTCTGAAGAAGCTGGAAGAGTAAATTATTTTTGATAAAAAACTTAGCCTTTTTTCAGTTCTTTTTTTGTATCAAATGTATTATTAAAAAAAAGTTTGTTTAAAGTTTGTTAATTTAAAAGTTGAGTAAATTATCAAAAGCAAATAATTATATATGTGAAATATGAAGCATTAATACAATTTATTATTTTTCTTATATATGTACTTTGTCTTAAGAAGTGTAGAAACTCAAACAATTACTATTTTATACAATATAGACAAAAAATAATATCTTTGATTTTTATTATTTTTGAATAACTATGAGTATTTGTTGTGTTTGCTTAAATAATTGGTAAATTGGATTTTTTAACAATTATGATATATAAGTATTTGATCATTATGTATTTCATGTATTTATCTTAAAAATATCTAACTTATAAATTAAAGTATATAACAATTAATACATAAATATAATAAATATATACAATAGTTTTTTTATTGTAGGTTTCTCGACATATTAGCATGTGAAGAGTTTTTCACACTGTCATATATTACGTCTCAATAACATTAGGTCAAGGCTTAGATAAACAAATCATCAAATATGGCTACAGACAAGGATAAACGTGGAGAGATATACAAACTCCTTCTATCATTGTTGCTCGCCCGGCAAGGTTCTACACCGATTGCTCTTCTCGATCAAGATTATTATGAAATGGAAGGACAGCGTATACCGTGGCGAAAATTTGGTCATACCGATTTAGTTGATTTTTTGAGAAGTGCTCCGCAACATTTTTTGATCGAGTCGTACAATGGTGGTCATTACGTACGTGGAATCGCGTCGGATAAATCTAAGCACGTGAGTTCGCTAGTGGCTCGTCAGAAATCGAAGACTCTGCCGTTTCGCACGCAACGAACTCGAAGACCTATCATGACGCGTTATATACCGCCACATCGTCCACGTGGCAAGGTCCCCCCGACTTATCTACATCAACTCGTGCAGCATATCAAGAATAATCCGGACGGAGTAAGCATGCATCATATCAAAGAAGAGGTACAGAAGGACCTGCCATCCATGACAATAACCGCCCAAGACCTGCGTGTGCAATTATACGAGCTGTCGCATCAATTACGCATAGATGGCGAAATAATCTATCCGGTGCAAGCCAACGATACTTCACAAGATGTTAGAAGCTATAATCAACCACCGCTGATGCCGGAGTTGCAAAACGCATCATCTTTGGTCAAGATGTGCGCCGGTGGAGATGAAGAGTCGGACTGTGCGGAAGATTTTGCCGATGAGGAAAATTTTATACCAGCCGGTTGTATAAGCAATAATTACTCGAAGCCGTCGAGGGTGCACGAGCGGCTCGCGGCGAACTTTGCGCTGGATGCGCAATCCAGTGAACAAAACGCGAAGTTCTATTATGATAATAATGACGATATTAATGCGTGCTTCCCCGTGAAAAATGACAGTATTAACATGGAAACGATGACTGACAGTGAAAGCGTAGGAATATCTGCGCTAATAAGCCAAAGAACAAGATCGCGATTGAAACAGCTCGTAGAAAAACATCCACAGGGCATTTGGTGCGCCGATTTGCCAGACATGTTTCTAAAGGAGTACAATGTGAGTTTGAATTACATTGATCTGGGATTCACCAGCGTGCGCGAATACGCTTCTTACCTGCCGGATATTTTTCACATGACGCAGGAGAATACGAAAGACGACTTTTTATTGTATAACGCTGATAAAAAACCAATGATACCTGAAGAAACATTCCAACCGAACTTTGCTGAAGGAGAAGCGAGCTCGCGTGAGCAACACGACGATTATTATGGAGTGCGTGCACAACTTGATGATAATGATGATTTACCAATCCCAGCGGATGTTGTAAGTAATATAAGTAATGCTATTTTTTTTTTAATCAACGTGTTAATACTTAGACTGCCCAGCTAATTTCGAGCGTGAGGCCTCCTGAGACCAAAATCGCAACGTGCGCAACCGTATGAGTAAAATTATTCTTAGTTAAATTATTAAAACCATGTACGCGTGATTTTTCGCAGGAATCTCGTGGCAGTCTAAGTGTTAATAATATATCTTAATTCGAATAAACTCTGGTATTTACCGGTAAAGTATATTTCCTCCTGAATCACCCTCCTGAAACAACCTGCACATTGTTGATTATAGTAATTGATGTTAAAACTGTCTTTAGTACCAATGGATGTTAAGATTTGTGAAAAAATATTAGTTAAGCATTAATTCTTTTGGTTCTCAATTTTTACTGCAAATAAAAAGAAATATTTATATATCATGTTCAGGTGGTGTAATCTTTATAATAATATATAAAAATTATGTTCATCGTGAGACTTAATTTTTTATTTTTTTACGATGTCTACTTTTTTAAATATAAGCTCTATATTTTGTTTACTTTGTCGTATAATATATTTCCTTAAATGTTATTTCTTTTTTCTGACGTCCGTTCTGTCAGGATCGAAAGAGTAGAAAATATTTGCAATGTAATAATCGCTGCTTTATATAATTTTGCAGTCTCCTGACATAACAAAGAGATTTGCGCCTGATAATGTCATGAATTACAATGACAGCGTGGATTGCATACTTGTGACTAATCTATTAGCTAAAAAGAAATTGTTGAAGGCGTATGTCATTGAAGTGTTTAATCCATCCTTCTTCTGGATACAACTTTGGGAAAATAAAAAAGTTTTTGAAAATTTTATGAGAGAATTAAAGTAAGTATATGGGCAGCTCACAGGATTCTCGTCGCGAATTAATATCGACGATGATATTCAAATCGAAACCTGAAATTGTTTTTTTTTTCTTTCTAGTGACTTCTACAAGTATAACAGCGATGTGTACTCTATTCCAAAGGTTGCGCTGAAAAGGGGCCTAAACTGTGCCTGCGTATACGCGAATATGTGGCACAGATGTATCATCAAGTCTGTAAAGCCAGATTACAGAGTGACAGTGAGTAAAAATGTAGTATAAAATGCAACGAAACAAAATAAAGATTGTAATGACGAGCTAACTCACGTGGAAATTTCCAAAAATGATTTCATTGCGATATATAATAATTCGGTTATTTTCCAACAGGTGCTGTTTTATGATTTTGGCACACTGAAGACATATGCGCCCGAAGACGTGTATTATTTACACAAAAGGTTCTCTCTTCTACCCGCACAAGCGATACCCTGCGGCTTATATAACATTAGACCAATTGTTGGCGATCGTTGGAGGAAGAGTGTGAACAATCAATTTATTGACAGAATCGATGGACATAATGGTCTTTTAGGTGTTAGCATTAAATCCATTGACGCATTGGTAAGCTTATGTTTTTCACTCCTAGAAATCTTTTGGGACATCAAAATGTTTTACTTTTGAATTCTATGAATTATTTCGTAATTGTCGACATTTTCGAGTATTCTTTTATTTTGATATCAGAAAGCAATGTTGTAAATATTTTATCTATAATATTAAATTACTTGTTAATAATATATTATTAATTAAATCGAAATATTTATTTAAATATCTATTTTGACAGAACAATTCCATGCTGGTCGTTCTGACCGACATAAACGAAGACGGAGAGACAGACATAAACGAGTGGTTAGTGAAAGAGAATCTAGCGAAACATGGTAAAATGGTGCGTATGTACCATAATTTTTCGTTTATCCATTATTTGAGATGCAATATTACTGTAAAATCGTCTGGATCTCATATGAGTAATGTAGTTAATTCGAATCGAGCGCGATACGATAAGAATCAGTCGATATCACCTGAGAAAGCACATAAATTATCCGATATAAAGAGTGAGGATTCCGAAAAGAAAAATGTTGAAGATCTGTGTAACATTCCGTCTAGAAAGAGATTACTGCTGCAAAAGTTGCAGACTCTTAGCTCACAGGAAATTGTTAAGTCGCAATCGAGTTTGGAGGAGGAACAGCCGAAAACACTTAAGCCAACAATAGTGCAGAAATTGAAATCGCTCTATGCTGCGTCCAACTCACAAGCAAGCACTTCCAGCTCGTCGAAAATGGACGAATCTTTCAAAGATAATTCGCAACAAATCAGCTCGGACGTGAAGGTGGATGTAAAATCGCAGGATACCAAAGGGAGTTATTGCGGGTTTAATGTGGAGTTTGGTTTGCGAGATTCCGACAATGAAGAAACCACTAAGAAAGATTTCGGAACGTTTCATAGCTTATACGGTGGGCAGGGTTCAAATGAACCTTTCGATTGGTTGGAACACAATAAACCCTCTTGCAAACCAACCGCTACAATATGTAATAATAATTTGGACACTCTAATCCAAGAATGTAAGAACGATGTGGAGGTTAAATCGGAATCGCATAATGAGAGAGCAGACCCGCGCGCCGACCGGTGTTTTTTAAATTTTACTCGCAAAGGGGAGGAATATTATTCGCCGGAGATGAATATCGAGTACACCGATAAAAACAGAAGCAAAGAGTTCGTAGCAAGACTGAGAAACAAAATGCAGGTATACAATGATAAATGCGTGCAAGTGACTATACCGCAGCACATACTTGAGATATTCCGTCATGACGATCACTCTCAGGATACACCCGAGTGCAACGCGAGTACTGTTAAGATCAATGGTTTAGCTTTGGGAAGCGAAGAAACTCAAGTCGCTGCAAATGAAAACGATAAATGCGATGTATGCGAAACAAGAGCCGATCAGAAAACGAGGAACAACGAGAGTCCCGATTTGAAGTTAGCTTCCTGTAATGTGATTGACAATGAAAATAACAATAACAATAAAACTTCTGAGTACAATGCGACCGATTCTTCTGGTTCCAATACAAGCAAAGAAATGGTTAATCCTAGATTCAAGAGTCAATTGCTGAACCGCATGAGAGACTTGAAGATGAATTCGTCGAAATCGAGTAGCTCAAAAGAGTCTTCCAGCAGTAGCGAGCAAATATTGTCATCCTCCTACAGTCAAAACAGCAGCACCGACGACATAATCTCGTCGGACAACGATCAATCCAAGGTATTCGGCAAGAAAAGCGCGGAGCAGCGCATCAACAAGCTGCGCCGTTTCATGCAATCAGCGTCGGCGTCTTCGAATAACTCCAAATTAAGTAGCGATTCCGATACGAGTAATCTTTCGTCTTTGAAAAACGAAATTGCAGCTCCTTCCATCACGCTTGACGATTCAACACGGCGTCAGCTGAATTTTTCCTTGGAAAATAAATCTGCTCTTCCTTCCAACGACAGTATAACGCAGCAACTGTTGAATCGGTCCTTTGATTCCACCACTTCTTCCGACGTCGAATCGAAGCATCAATTGAATCAGTCCTTAGAAACTGATTCCAATATTTCTTCTGACGAGTCGAAGAACTATCAATTAAATGCGACACTACGTTCTTCGAAATTCTTAGAGATGCTCAAGAAAGTGCAGAAAGTATCAACGAGCAATTCTGAATTGGACTCCGACGACTTAAGTAATAAGGAAAACGTTGAAAGTAACAAAAATTGCAACACGGAAAACGATAAATCGACCGACGAGTCGGGTCTTGTGATAACCGAATTGCCGAAAGAAAACGCGAACGTGTCTGTGACATCCAAATTATCGGACAATGTGATTCAGGAGAGCATTCCTACCTTCAATGATTGCGATGTAGAATCCGATGACAGTGATCTAGACGCTTTCGGAGAACCTCAACATTTTTCTTTTTTTGAGAAATTGATAGAATAAAATTAAGAGATTTTAAATATTTCATAATATATATAAATATTTTATAATATTATAAAATATCTATAATACGACAAGTAACCTAAGGTTCAAATTTTTCATAAGTTTATCCTTAAACTAATGCAGTAACTCTACTTACATTACATAATATATTAAAAAATATATTAAAAAAACATATAATTATTTATTTATATTGACCCCTTTTAATTGTAAAACTGAAGCGAATTAACCAACTACTACATAGCCATACAAGAAATAATAAAAGAAGAAATTTTCAGATTATATAATATTTATATTATAAAATATTTATAAATATTATAAAATATTTATACATATTATGAAATATTACTATCATTAAGATATAAACAAAATTATAAAATATTCATATATGATTAATTGTGCAATAAAAT